TATTATGGCGTCTAATAGTCCTTCATCAGCGATTTTCGCAAATGAATTTCATAGTAAAATCATTCGTTCCAACATTAAAATAGCGTTACCAACACTTAATTATCCAAGAATTTGAATTATTATTTTGCACTAATTGTTTAAGAATCTAGTTATTTTCATTTATATCCGTATTGAGGAGCTATTTGTTCTAACTACGGCTTCAAATGATCTAATTTTACTTCAATTATACTAGGATATCAACTTCTTTTTATTTGCTTAGGTTTATGCTCCAGTTTTGGCTGCATTTTTCCATCAGCATTATTCTCAATTCATTTAATTTTAGAATTAACTAATCTTTTGACCAAATCTCTCTAGTTTATCATCTGGCATCCCGCTAATGGCTTTTTATTTTCCTTTTATGATTTAGCATTCATCTATATTTCATGTTTCCGAATCTCTCCGAAGGTCATTTGGATGCCTATCGCCAGGCCATAGTTCAGAATCAGCACTTGGCTGAGCTGGCTGTGGTATGTTATCATGATTTCCACATTTCGAAAATGTTTTTCCTATTGCTCTTTACACTATATCTGCTTCCAATTTCTTATGCATCTGACTTGTGCTTAATCTCTTTCTTTTCACTTTAGCGACTTGGTCTTCACAAATACCTTCTCTATACTCACAGTGTGGACTTCAGCTATGATTCAACTTTTATTTATGCCCGCTCAGATGCGTTTGAGGCTCTAATGGGTAGGTATTTATCATTTACGTGTGTATGAAGAAATGCTTCTAATATAGTGCTTAATTATTGGGAGAGTGTGTTCACTAAGCGTGTTATTGAGTATGAATACATCTTGCAAATTTCTTCACCTATTCCACGTAAATTCTCTATACTCTATGAATTTATATGATTGTCAACTTGTTCGTCTCTACTTTGCCTTAACAACGCGAATTTTATTTTTCTATGCAGCGGCCATATTTCTGGATTCTAGTTTAGAAACTGTCGATCGAATTTTCGGTGCCGTTTTATTTGGCGACTTAAAGCGTCTTCATCAGACCTGGGTCCGAATACCTCTGCATCCTCTTCAGTTGCAATATCCTAATGGTGACCGTGAATGGGCTGATCGGATTCCAATGTTAAAGGTTAGCAAATTAACATTTATAAAATTAAAAATACCCGTAAACATGTATAATTAACTTTTGATCTACCAGTATTACACCAATTTAAGTAAACTTTTGGAATCAACTTATTCATTGGTTTGCGCAAAACAGCCAATTTTTATAATCGAAGGTATGAAGGCCAATATGGTGTGACCTTTAGTATTATCGCGATATCTTTTCGTTGTATACAAGTTTTTTGACTTTATTTTCGCAACTTGATCGTATTGTCAAGGTGACCTAAAGGAACGCATCTTGTCCGTTGTCAATAATGTACTTGATAATTTCGAGTCGAACTGTGTACTTGGTACGTTCCCAGACTTTTCGCCGGCATTCTAGTTGACATCGTCAGTGGACCTGCAATTTTCGCACTACACTACAACTTGTTAAAGAGGAAAGGATCGCCTTCACTTTTCTATTTGACGAGTTGTAGTGTAAGCATCATCGCTCACTAATAATGTGATACCGGCGAAAAGTCTTGGAATGTGCCAAGTCCACAGTCCGACTCTGGACTCCGGTTTAGGTGTGTTACTCTAGATCTGCCTGACACTAAGACCAAATTGCGAAAGCCAGGTCTAACATTTTCTATACAGTAAATTTTATTTCTGAATAGGTAATGCTGAATGCTTTTTAATCCGGCCATTAAATGACTTTACTTCGCTACCAACATCTTTCTGCCATTCTTTTCTTGTGAAATATTACTCTTCTGCCCAGAGGTAAAAACCGAATCGATGCTACGCTAAGCTTTCTTAATATGAATATATGAAGAACAATATGGTGTGGTCCCCGATATCGTCGCAGTCTCCTTTCGATGCATATAAGTGGTTTGACCTTGTTTTCGCAACTTGGTCTTGTTGTCAGAGAGACTTAGTCGAACGCATCTTGTCTGAAGTCCTTTGTCATAGTAGTTTTCATAATTCCCAGTATCATAGCGTGGACTTGGTACATTCTCAAAC